TCAGGGGAACCCTGAGATCCCAGACCCCATCGAGCCATGGAAAAATCACGACGAGAGGTTTTCCCCGATTTTCGGCCCCTCGGGGCCCTCGCTGGGCCGCGGGACCGCCAAAACACTGCTCAGGATGAAGAGTTGGTCCCGGGGAGTGGCTCGAGACCTCTGGGCGCCGACGTCATGCGAGATCATGGCGTCGGAGGTCTGGGATCCTGGCGTCGCATTTTTGAGCCAGGCGTTGTCACATAACTTCGGGCCCTGTCCCTCACAGGTCGATCCGGCTCGAAGCATGGCAAAGAAAGATGGGGCCCAGGGTTGCGGTTGAGATGTTTCACGATGGTGGTTGCCCTGAGACGCCCGTTTTGAAGCGCAACGCTTGCCGTGGTCAAAGCGTGAACACGTTGCGTGGCTGCTCGTCACCTGTTGGTCCACGTCTTGGCGAACGCATCGCGCCAGGCCTGCGTGTTGAGCTCCGTGTCAACACGCTGCGTGCTTCGTGCTGCGTGCCTCACGATGCTGCATTCTCGTCGCAGCGTTGGGCCTCGGGGAGGGGAGGCCTCCGGTTTGGGGCCGCTCTCGGACCCCCAGGGCCCGCCCCCGGAGGAGAGCCATCGCCGCAGGTGGCCGGCGGACGCACCCCGCGAGAGGTCCGTGGAGTGGCGGCATCCGCAGGTTCGCGTCGCACCGATCGGCGGCGACCCCGCCGAGGAGGAGGAGGAGGAGGAGGAGGAGGAGGAGGAGGAGGAGGAGGAGGAGGAGGAGGAGGCGGAGGAGGAGGAGGTGAGGGGGAGGAGGAGGAGAGGAGGAGGGGGGAGGGGAGGAGAGGGGGGAGGAGGGGAGGAGGAGGAGGAGGAGGAGGAGGAGGCGGGGGGAGGAGGGGGGGGGAGGTAGGGGGAGGAGGAGGAGGAGGCGGAGGAGGAGGAGGAGGAGGAGGAGGAGGAGGTGGGGGAGCAGGAGGTGGGGGAGCAGGAGGACGCAGGTGCTGGCGCGCGCTCGGAGGACCATCGGCAGAAAGGCCTCGGGGGCCAGGGCCCGGCTCTCCCTCGGGGCCCGCTGCCTCCGTGCCGGCAGGTTCACGCTCCCCTACGACCAGGCGCCGCAGTTCGGGCCGCTGCTGCTGGACCTCGACGCCCAGTGCGGGAGGTTCGGGCTCCTGAACTACAGCATGACCATTCGGCGGCGCGCGAGGGGGGGTCACCAGCCTCGAACTGAATCCCTATCCCTAGGATGGGCGAGCAAAAAGCGAGGACAATCTTAGGGATAGGCCCTCAGAAACTGGGGGGATCCTTAAGATCGGCATCGAGGTGAGGTGATGTCAAACATAGGGATCGGGATATGTTTCAAACTGGTAAAGGGGGGGGAAGCGAGAGGGGGCTGGCCCTCCCAGGCGGCGGCTGGGCTTCTCCCGGGCGATCGCAAACATTCAAGGGGCCCAACGACACACAAATAAATATACAAGAAAACGGATTCCCAAAATTTGTCCATATTTTCTTGGTTTTCGTCTTCCCCCCTTTTCCCATATTTTCTTATATTTTCGGGGGAATCGACGATTCATTGTGTCTGTGTGTTTCTTCCCCTCCTGAAGCATGGATCAATGGGGCGTGGATTGGCGACGGATCCCGCTTCCGTGGGACGTCGCGGGGTTCCGCCGCCCAGCGAGGCGGCACGGGCCACCTTTTGGGGAGGGCGCCTCCCCCGATCCATGGACTTGGCGACCGCGCGCCAGATCCATGGATCGCCAAACCTGTTTGCGCGCCCCCCCCCGTGAGATCCGACGTTGCGAAGAATTGCAGCATCGTGAAGAGCCAAGATCCGAGCCAACTCGCTCCTCGATCCTCGATCCTCGATCTTCCTCCTCTATCCTCGAGCCTCGATCTTCCTCCTCGCTCCTCGAGCCTCGAGCCTCGATCTTCCCCCTCGATCCTCGAGCCTCGAGCCTCGAGCCTCCGTCCTCCTCGGCCCGGGCTCGGCGGGCCCAGGCCCGCCAGGAGGAGCTGGCCGCACCCCGGCCCGCGAGGCACAGCGCCTCGGAGGCTCTCTCTGTGTGTCTCTAGGCCTCCCAGATGGGGCCGGAGGTAGATGGGGTCCGAGGATCGCGCCGCGTCGCCGACGCATCGACGATGCGGCTCGAGATGCGGAACCCGATTTCCTCCACGCCGACGTCGCCGATCCGTCGCCGACGTCGGCGATGCGTCGCCGATGCATCGCCGATGCGTCGCCGATGCATCGCCGAGTCAGTGCAAAATCCTTCGACCCCACCTGCTCGGACCCCAGCTGGGAGGCGCCTCTGAGCCTCTGTGATGCAGGCCCCAATATCTGCAACACACTTCCGAGGTGGGGTCGAGTCTTGAGGGCCCCGGGGAGGCACGACGCTGTGCGAGCCCCGCGCCTATGGCGGAAGGAAGTTGAGGAGGAGGAGGAGGAGCAGGAGCAGGAGGAAAGGGGGAGGGGGAGGAGGAGGAGGAGGAAGGAGGAGGAGGAGGAGGAGGAGGAGGAGGAGGAGGAGGAGAGGAGGAGGAGGTGGAGGAGGAGGAGGAGGAGGGAGGAGGAGGAGGGGGAGGGGGAGGGGAGGAGGAGGAGGAGGCGGAGGATGGGAGGAGGAGGAGGAGGAGGTTGAGGTGGAGGGGGCCCGGGGGCCCGACACTGTGCGGCCGCGCCTGGCTAGAAGGAGTTGCGGCGCCAGGGCCTCCTCGGGGGCAATGGGGGCACACAGCCGGGGCCCTGAAGAAGGAACCCTTTTCGTTGGGGAGGGGCTCCGCGTTCCCTGGGTGTTTCGCAGCTTGCCTCAGGCTTCCCTGATGTTTTCGACCGGGAAATCGAAGGTTCACTTATGGGAAAAAGGGGCCTCGTTCCTCAGTTAGGGTTCCTCAGGTCAACGCCCCGACTGTAGGCACAGCGGGAGGACGCATCGACCTCCAGTCGCCCCTTTCATCGCCGATCAGGGGCCCGATGGCCCCGTCCCGCCCGAGAGCGTGCGGCTCTGCTTTCGGGGGCCGATCGCCGATCGATTGGCGAGGCATCCCCAATTCTAGGTCGATGCCTACCCTCCTATTCCAGTGCCCTCCTGTCGCTGGCCCTCATCTCCGGGGCCCCCCCTGGGCGCGCCGCTGAACCGTGACGTCGCTGGAGGAGGTATTCATGGCCCTCGGCCGGGATGCCGAGCGGGCAGACGGTGCCGGCGCAGAGGGGTGCTCAGGAGGGGAAAGACAAGCACAGACACAAATACACGCTGATCTCCGGGAACATCTGAGCGACGGAACAAAACGGGCACATTTGCGCCGACGTTCGCGCGTAAGCTGCCCGCGTAAGGTCGCGCGTAAGCGCCCTCGCTTCCGGTGTAGCGTGCCGCTCTGGCGGTCCGCGTAAGTTGCATCGTAAGGTCGCCGTGCCATCTCGCGCAAGACGCCTCTGTTTCGTCGCTCGCTTGGGAAAGCATGGGACACGGACGGGGAAGCACGAGGTCATGGATGAAAACTGAAGAATCTGGGGCGTCCTGGGATTCGTGCCGATTGCTTGGTTTCCCCCCTGGGCCCCAGCAGGCACTCCGACCCGCTCGGCCCGGAGCCCGAGCTGGCGGAGGCGGGCGCGGAGCCGGGCCGCGGCGGGTGGGTGCGCACGGCGGCGGCGGTGATGCGCGTGCGGTTCCTGCAGATCAGCAGGCGGGGCTCGAGCCAGAAACTCCGAGGCCCCGCAGACCCAGACCTCCTCGCGTCGTGCAAAAATCACGACGGGAGGTGTTTCGCTATTTTCGGCCTCCAGGGGCCCTTCCTGGGCCTCGGGAGCGTCAAAAAACGACTCAGGATGAAAAACCGGCCCCGGGGAAGGGGTCCAGACCTCTGGGGGTCGACGTTGCGGAAAAATCACGACGTCGGGGGTCTGGGGAGGGTCGGTGGTTGCTAGAGGTGCCCCTGGCCCGAGGTGCCCCCAGCTTGTCGCTCAGGCTTGGAGCCCCGGGGGCCTCGGGGCCTCGTGAGGGGGTGCTCTGGAGGCCGTGGGGGCCTCCTTGGAAATCTGGGGGCACCCTGGGCCAGGGGCACTTCCAGCAGCACCCGAGATGGGTTCCGAGTGGGCGTGGTCGAAGGATCGCGCCGCATCGCCACTGCATCGGCGACGTGGATCGACGTGGAGCCCGGCATTTTCTCCACGCCAGCGTCGTCGATGCATCGGCGATGTGGCGCGGTCCACCGACCCCATCTACTCGGGCCCCACTTGTGAGGCCGCTGACAACGGTGATTTGGCGATTTCGTGGACGGCTTTCGTTTGCGGCGAAGGCGGAACGAAAACAGAGCCAGAACACTTAAAACACATAGCAAAACAGAAAACACGGTTTAGCTCGAGCTTTGCCAGCAGGAGCCGAAAGTCGCTGTTCGCCACGGTGTTCATGCCCATCTTGGCGGTGCCCACAGGAGGGTGGCGCAGGGGGGTGGGCTTCTGAAGAGGCGGCGGGGTTTCTTAGAAGGCAGGGGGGCTTCTTGGAAGGCCCCGGAGGCCTCTGAGAAGGCGTCTCAAAAGCCTCGGGGCCCTCCTAAAAAGGCCCCCGCCTTCTAAGACCCCATGCGCTTTCTTAGAAGGGCCCCCTGGCGCCACCCTCTTGTGGGCGCCGCCAGCCATCATGCTCATCTGCGTGGCCGTCCTTCAGGATGATGGTGACGGCCGCGGCAGCGGCGGCCTGGGCTTGGCTATCTACCCCCCTTTGGCCTTCGGTGCGGCGTGCGTGTCGTTCACCGCGGACCTCGTCCACGACCGCGAGAACAGGTGCAAGCACGTGGCGCTGTCTCAGGGCGCGCCCATCAGGGGCTACTGGGTGGGCAACCTCCTGGGCCACTACCCTTTCCTGCTGCCTACGTCGGCCATCCTGGTTCTGCTCGTGGCGGTGGCGCAGCCCGCGGGGCTGCCACGCGCCAGCGTCCCACTCCTTGCGGTGGAGGCGGCCGTGTACCCGGTGGGCCTGCTGCTGTACGCGTACAACTGCTCCCTGTGGTTCGAGTCGGTAGAGATGGCGAGCAAGATACTGCCCATATGCAATATGCTACTAGCCACGCTGCCCACCGTGTGCGTGCAGATCCTCGGCCTGATCGGGAGAGACCCCTGGCCTGGAGTAGCGAGGGTCGTACACATGACGATGTCGGTCGTGAACCCGGTATATGCGATGCCTGGCATGTTGATCCAGATTCCAATTGCAGGCTACAGCGACCCCAGCGAGTATCGAAAAAGCCTCCGACGAACCACCGCCATCCCTTGCGCCTTTGTGGAGGGCCCTTGTGGCCGATGAGTGTTATGACTCGATTGAACCCTGGTACTCCTGCGTGTTGTACAGTGGAGACCCATGCCAAGAACCACCTTGCTTCTCTCCAGGGTGCCGTGGGTTTCTTAGGTTTCGATGGTCTTACTGTGGAAAGCGTGACGTCCCCACCAAAAATCCATGGACGCCCTGGGGTCTCAGGGTTGGGTTTCTTGTGGAAGGTTTCTTGTGGTCGAGCCCCTACTGTAGGGGCGACTCGGGGAAAAGGGGGCCTGGAATTTACCCCTGAAGTGCAGCTGGGCCCCGTTCGGCCGTCTTGGCGCCCTCTGGGGCTGTCTTGGGATGCTCTTCGGCTGTGTGGGGAGGGGCTCCTCGCGGCGTTCTTGGGGGGTTCTCTGCGAGCCCCCGTAATTATAGGCATCCTGGGGGCCGACTCGGGGCGTTGTCGGGCCGTCTTGGGCGATGTCGGTGGCGCAGGAGGCCATCTTGGGACTATCAGGGGCGATCTTGTAGCTGCCTCCGCAGTTGCCTTCGGCCCAACCTGCCACCGTGCCTGGGTCGTGGACCAAAAGGCGTTTTGGGATGCATGTGGGGCCTCTTCGAGGCCTGTGAACGTGCCACCTGCCAGGCTATCTGTGCCTCCCTCTCAGCAGGAGCCTCCGAGGGCTTCGTGGGGGCATCCTGGGGGCCTGCTGGTGGTCTTGCGGGCTCTTTGGGAGCGGAAGGCTCCAAATGGCATTTCGAGCTCCCCATCTCGAGGGGGCTTCTTCGGGGGCTTCTGGGGGGCTTCTCGAGCTCCTCTTGAGGGCGTCGGGAAGCCGTCTTGGGTGCGATCTTGGTGGCCTCTCGGGCGGTCATGGACTTAAGTCGGGCCTATCCCTCGACACGAGGAATATTCAAACATAGTTTTAAAATAGTCGGGGGACAATGTTATGATATTTGTTGTGACTATGTTTGACCTGAAAAAATCGCCCAATATCCGCCTGTAGGAGGACATGCCCGACCTAATCTTGGACGCTTCGACGACCGAAGAGCAGAGTTTTGCGAACACCACACGGAAACCAACGGCTCCACAATGATGTTCGCTTCTTGGGACGGGCCCCGGGGCCTCCGATTGGTGCCTCGCTGGGGGCCAACTTGACGCCACGTTTGGGAGGCGGGCAGGGCCGTCCGTGGCTCTTGGGCTTCTCTTTGGTTACCGGCCTGGAGCATATCCCCATCCCCATGCTGGGCATCTCCTCATCACGATGCCAATCTTAGGGATTCCCGTGTCTCTTGAGGGCGCATCCCTAAGATTCTCATCGCCTTTGGGCGTGTCAATCTTGGGGATAGGGATAAGTTCGAGGCTGGTAATTGGGGCCCTTCTCGGAGCATAGTGGGCCGTCTTTCCCGTCTGGTGGCCTCCCTGGCGCGAGTCCTGAGGCGCCCCTCCCTCCGTGTGGCTCTCTGTGGCGCCGCGAGCCCGCCCCCAGTGGAAGAAGAAAGAAAAGAGACGGGCGTGGAGAGGCATGAGGCTGCTTCCTGCTTCAGAAATGGTAATTCTTAACCGTGAGAAAATACATGTTAACCGTGAGAAAAAAACAAAACGTAAAATCAATACGTGAACACAATACGTAGACGTGGGGAAAAAACAGCGGGTAAAACACAGTACGTAAAAACAGACGGGACAGGGGCCAGGACGAGGAAAGAGAACATTTCTGGCGCCCGAGCTTTCTCGACGCGAGGACCCCCAGAGGTCTGGGCTGCCCCCCCCCCTTGGGTCGGCTTCTGACGGTCCCGGGGCCCGTTGAGGGCCCCCAGAGGCCCAGAGCGGCCGCTCCATTTGGTTGTTGCGGAGCCTCGGATCCCTGTCGGGGGAGCGTAAGACCTGGGTTTGCCAGGACTCGGGTTCGCCATCGTTTTTTGACGACTGCGCCTCGGATTTTGACGAGGAGGAGTTTCGTGGGATGTCTGCAGCGGGAGGCCTCGTCAAAATGCAGGCTCGGCCTCGTCATTTTTTGACGACCCCGTCGGGGATTTCCGAGTCCCCTGTACCCAGGTCTTACGTCCCCCTGACCCTGGGAAGGAGAATCTGGTTGATCCGAAATGGGGTCCAGCTGAAAAGGGGTTGGTACGATAGATGTTGGGCAATGGTATTGCAAGTGCGCTGTGCCAGAGAATCGGATTGACTTGCACTGCAACTCGTTTCGCTTGAGAATGTGTTGCACGACCCAGGTCTACTGCAACCCCGCAACTCTGATACACCAACCCCCTTCCAGCTGGGCCCCCACTTGCGTCGACCAGAAAGAGGAGCGCCGGCTTGACAGCTCCCCCCTCCTCGCAGCCGGGCGCCACCCCGGCGGGCCAGGGCGGATTTCTTCCCCTCCAAGGGCACCCCGCTCTGCTCCGCGCCGCTGCTCCTGTCCTCGGGGGACAAATCATGACATAAACATGCGACGGTGGCTGTGGTTAAGAAATGTCCAAAGGAGGCTTCAGACCCTGGAGGATTCCTTATCCAATGAGGGCGGCGGTGATATCCATGGCCAGTCCAGGATTTGAGCTCCAACGGCTTCCAGACCCTGAGCTCCTTATCCAATGCTTCCTTGTCCAATGCCCTCGCCGAGAACTTTCCGGGGGTCCGCGCGGGTTTCCTTCGATCTGCGCTGAAGCTCCCTTGGCGGTGCGCTCCGCACGCCAGGGACGGGGGTCCAGCGCCGATCCAGGAAGTCGGCGCGGAGGTGCGACAGCATTTCTGCGTTTGCGCCATGATTTGTGCCTCGATGTCCGCGCCCTCGCTGCTGCTCTTCGGGGTGCTGCTCGTGTGGCGCGACGCCCGCGCGGGGGACGCACCTCCAGGGCGGGCGCGGCCGCTGGGCGCCGGGCGCAAGGATCGAGGCCTCCCATCAAGAGGGGAAAAACACAGACACAAGTAATCGCCGATCCCCAGGGAAATATGGGAAAATATGGGAAGTGATGGGAAGACGGAAATCCAGAAAGTGTGAGAAACTATAGGGAATATTTGTATTTGCGTGTATTTATTTGGGTGTCCCTGGGCCCCTTCATCCCCGGTGGGTCCTTCGGTCGCAAATCATGGGAGCCTGGCATTTCCTCGAAGTTCCGTTTTCAGAGTGCTTTGGCGTGCGCCAGCGTCTGGCAGTCGATGAGACAGCGCAGATTCTGCATCGATCTGGCGTCGGTCAGCGTCGACTCGCAAGAGCCAGCAAGATGGGCTCCCACGAGTTGCCACCGACGGGTCCGAGGGGATGGGGTCGGAGGATCGCGCCTCATCGCCGACGGATGGGCGACGTGGCGCGATGTGGCCCGCCCGACTTCCTTCACCTTGACGGCGCCGATGCGTCGCTGACGGGGCCGATGCATCGCCGATGCGTTGGCGATGCAGCGGCTACGGTCGGTCTGGCCCACCACGCTTCGGCGCGACACGCAGTCCGCTTGCCGGTTGCTAGGCCTCCACGTCCCGGGCCTCTTCCGAACCCCCTCCCGCCCCGCGGAGCGCGGCGGCACGCTTCATCCGCTCGCAGGGCAAGGGCACAGCGTGTCGACGGGGCCGCCGCCGCGAAGCGCTGAGCAGGCGTGCCCGACCCTGTCGTGGCAACCCCCCTGGGGAGTCCCGCGGGAGTCCGTTGAGGGCCCCGGGGTCCGCCCCAGGGATGAGGTGGTGGTCCTCCATGTTCCCCCCTCCCCGATCCTCCTCCTCAATCCTCGATCCTCATCGTTTCCTTCCTCCTCCTCCTCCTTCTCCTCCTCCTCCTCCTCCTCCTCCTCCTCCTTCTCCTTCTCCTCCTCGATCCTCGATCCTCGATATTCGATCATCCCTCCTCCTCCTCCTCCTCCTCCTCCTCCTCCTCCTCTCTCTCCTCTCCTCCCTCTCCTGCTCCTGCTCCTGCTCCTGGTCCCTCCCTTCTCGTTCGCCTCTCCTCCTCCTCCTCCTTCCTTCCTCCTCCTCCTCCTCCTCCTCCTCCTCCTCCTCCTCCTCCTCCTCCTCCTCCCCCTCCTCCTCGAACCTCGATCCTCGAATACTGGAAGGCCCTCGAAAGGACCAGGACGTGCTCGAGGAGGAGCGGCGCGTGGCGCGCGCCCGCGCGGGCGCCGGTCGCGGCGGGGAGGAGCCTCGGAGGAGAAAGAACCGCACAGCCTCGGGCATTGCGTATCGTCGTCGTCGTCTTCTTCGTCTTCGTCGACGTCGTCGTCCTCGTCTCCCTCGTCGTCGTCGTCGTCGTCGTCGTCATCGTCGAGGTCGTCGTCCTCGTCCTCCTCCTCGTCCTCGTCGTGCTCTCCGTCCTTGTTGTTTTCGTCGTCCTCGTCGTCCTCGTCGTCCTCGTCGTCCTCGTCTTCGTCGTCGACGTCGTCGTCGTCTTCGTCGTCGTCGTCATCGTTTTCCTCCTCCTCCCCCTCCTCCTCCTCCTCCTCCTCCTCCTCCTCCCTCCCCCTTCCTCCTCCTCCCCCTCTTGATCGGAGGAGGAAGGGCGAGGGAGGAGCAGGAGACAGACGATGCGGAGGAGGCGGAGAAGGCGGGAGCGTAGAGGAGGAGGCGGAGGAGGCGGAGGAGGCGGAGGCGACGGGTGCGTAGCGGAGGAGGAGCAGGAGGAGGAGGAGGAGGAGGAGTAGGAGGAGGAGGAGGAGGAGGAGGAGGAGGAAGAGGAGCAGCAGGAGGAGGAGGAGGAGGAGGAGGAGACGAAAGAGCGGCACATGTTGGCGTTGCGTAACCCTAAGATCCTGGCGTCGCATTTGTTCCGGGCCAGGCGTTTTCGCATCAATCCCAGCCCAAGGATCCTCACCGATCCATCCGGCTCGAAATGCAGCGCAGAGCGATGGGGTATAGGGCTCCAGTCGTGATTGTTCATGATGTTGCAGTTGTTTCGCAACGTCGGATCTCATGGACTGGAGGGGCGATACATGGAGGGGTGAAGGAAGGTGCACCTCTCGTGCAACAGTGGGGGCCGCAAAGAGGCCCCCCTGGGGCCACAAAAGGGCCACGGGATGTGCACGTTTTTGTTGGCGCCCCTCTGCTTGGCATCGCTCGGACGTGTGCATTTTTCTTTCGGCGAGGACCATCGAGGAGCATCCTTGACCATTTGGCGAAAAAAACACGCACGAAACCTACAAAAAAACAGGGAATGGACGTCCGAGCGATGGCGAGTCTGTTATCATTATGTCGCTTCCATCGTGCTGAATGACCGCATCCGAGAACAAAAAAAAACATCCGGCACCTAGAAAGGTATCGCAATCGTGTCTGCCCGACACGCCAGCGAATCGCCTCCCAGGGCCCGACACGTGAAATCCCTCCAGTTGGGGCACTTTCCTGACGCTCGAAAGTCTTCCTGGAGATCAAGGCTAAAGCAGGTTGGGACATCGAAATGTCATGCCCCCCTGTGAGCAACGCCCAATAGCCGCGAACTCTCGTGGGCCCGCGCGGGTCCCTTGGAGCTTCGCTGGGGCCCCCCATGGCGGCGCGGAGTCGGTGTGCTGCCCAGGGGGGGGGGGGGGGGGGGGGGCGGCCCGTGGCCCGAGGGTGGCCCTACAGTGGCTTTTCCGGGGAGGCCCACGATAGCCTCCAGAGCACCGCTCACGGGGCCCAGAGGGCCCCCGGGGCTCCACGACGGTACTCTGGGTGGGATACTAGTCGAGGGGTGGGCGACTGACCTTGCGACGGAGCTTGCCCATCCCTGCCCCCTCCTCTACATCCTCCTCCTCCTCTTCCCTCCTCCTCCTCCCCCTTCCTCCTCCTCCTCCTCACTCCTCCTCCTCCTTCCTCCTCCTCCTCCTCCTCCCTCCTCTCTCCTCCTCCTCTCTCCAACCCCCTCCACCCGTTCCGACAGTACGTGCCCCCCCCCCCGCGGATCCGATCCAGGGGGGGGGGGGGGGGGCGATTATTGCCCCATCTAGAGTACCGAAAGCAGGGGGCACATTGGGCCAGAGACACCTTTGGCAACCCCCGCGTGCGTCCCCTTCCTCTGCGTCCCTTCCTCCCTTGCTCGCATTGCCCCACTATGTGCTCGGCTCCCCGACGACTGTGGAGTGGATCGGCGTTGATTGTTGACCTGCGTTGCCGTCGGTCCGATATCATCATCGGGGGAGGCAAGGCTTCTGGCACCCCCCGCAGGAGGCGGCCCGCTACGAGGGCCTCAGCCACACCTACCGCTTCCGTGTCGGGCGCGAGTGGCGGGAGGCGCCGGCCGTGCGCGGCATCAGCCTGGGGGTCCGGGCGGGCGAGTGCTTCGGCCTGCTGGGGCCCAACGGGGCGGGCAAGACCACGACGCTTGCGCTGCTGACGGGCGAGGTGAGGCCGCCGTCCGCGGGGAGCATCACCGTGCTGGGCCAGGACGTGTCCACGCCAGGGCGAGGAGGAGGAGGGGGAGGGGGAGGGGGGAGGGGAGGGGAAGGGGGAGGGGGAGGGGGAGGGGGACAAGCTAGGTGCGCTCGCGTCATATCTGACGTCCTACCCCTCCCTCCATCCCTTACCATGGCGCTGATTTTCTCTATCCGCGGACGCGTGTCGTAGCGGACCTGTGGCTCCGCGCGCGCGTGCGTAGTGGGTGGTGGTGCGCGTGCGTGCGTGCGTGCGTGTGTGCGTGGTTGGTGGTGGTGGTGGTGTGGTGCTGGTGCTGGTGTGGTGGTGGTGCTGGTGCTGGTGTGGTGGTGGTGCTGGTGTGGTGCTGGTGACTGGTGCTGGTGCTGTGTGCTGGTGCTGGTGCTGGTGCTGGTGCTGGTGCTGGTGCTGGTGCTGGTGGTGGTGTGGTGGTGGTGTGGTGTGGTGTGGTGGTGGTGGTGGTGCGGCGCGGTGGTGGCGGGCGGATGGGCGCGCGAGAAAGAGGCCCGCGCTGGGGCGAGAACGCCATCCTGAACGACGGAGGCCAAACACCGATCCGAAAATGAGGCCCACGCTGCAGCGGGAGCACGATTCGGAACGATTCGGGAGCAGAAATGAGGCCGGCGCCTCAACGAGAGCAGCATTTTGTGGAAAAAATGACGCCGGCGCCTCAGCGAGAGTCGTTTCCCGGGATTTCCCGGGCATCCTGTGTGTAAAAAACAGTACGCGGAGGGTGCGCGGCCATCACCCGGACGCCATCAGGGGAAGGATTCGGGAGCAGAAATGAGGCCGGCGCCTCAACGAGAGCAGCATTTTGGGAAAAAATGACGCCCGCGCGAGAGCAGCATTTTGGGAAAAAATGACGCCGGCGCCTCAGCGAGAGTCGTTTCCCGGGATTTCCTGGGCATCCTGCGCGTACAAAAATTATCCCGGCAAAGCAACCTAACAGCGATGTGTAGGAGCATATCTGGAAGCATTCCCCTTAAGATTCAGATGAGAATCCAGTTGTAGAATTCTGCTGTTCTCGCAGTCGTAGTCGCATTCGCGATGACAGTCGCAGCGGCAACGGCAGTCGCAGTCACAGCCTCAGCCTCAGCCTGCCTCAGCCTCAGCCTCAGCCTGCCTCAGCCTCAGCCTGCCTCAGCCTCAGCCTCAGCCTGCTTCAGCCTCAGCCTCAGTCTGCCTTCAGCCTCGGCCTCAGCCTCAGCCTGCCTCAGCCTCAGCCTGCATCAGCCTCAGCCTCCCTCAGCCTCAGCTTGCCTCAGCCTCAGCCTCAGCCTCAGCCTCAGCCTCAGCCTCAGCCTCAGCCTCAGCCTCAGTCTCAGCCTCGGCCTCAGCCTCAGCCTCAGCCTCAGCCTCAGCCTGCCTCAGCCTCAGCCTCAGCCTGCATCAGCAGTCTGCCTCAGCATTCAAAATTTGGCCCGGGAATGGAGTTCTGGGAACTCGAAGAGCACGAAGTGGCCTACAGTTGGCTCCGGGCATCCAAAATGTGGCCCGGGAATGGAGTTCTGGGAAATCGAAGAGCACGAAGTGGCCTACAGTTGGCTCCGGGCATCCAAAATGTGGCCCGGGAATGGAGTTCTGGGAAGTCGAAGAGCACGAAGTGGCCTACAGTTGGCTCTGGGCATCCAAAATGTGGCCCGGGAATGGAGTTTTGGGAAGTCGAAGAGCACGAAGTGTGTGACTGTTGGTTCCGGTTATTCAAAATGTAGCCCGGGAATGGAGTTCTGGGAGGTCGAAGGGCACGAAGTGTGCGACTGTTGGCTTAAAACGAGCCCGGTTCTGTTCCCGGTTCTCCTCCCCAGCACCCGCCCAGACCCCCCTGAGGAGTCATGATGCTCTCTTTTGACCCTACTAGAAACCTATCAGCAAAAGCTGTTAGGTAACAGTACGCGGAGGGTGCGCGGCTATCACCCGGACGCCATCAGGGGAAGAGGGAGAGTATATTCATATTGAGTAATTGTGGAGGGGGAGGGGGAGGGGGAGGGGAGGAGGAGGAGGAGGAGGAGGAGGAGGAGGAGGGAGGAGGAGGAGGAAGGAGGAGGAGGAGGAGGAGGAGGAGGAGGAGGAGGAGGAGGAGGAGGAGGAGGAGGAGGAGGAGGAGGAGGAGGAGTGAGGAGGAGGAGGGAGGAGGAGGAGGAGGAGGAGGAGGAGGAGGGGGAGGGGGAGGAGGAGGAGGAGGAGGAGGGAAGGAAGAGGAGGAGGAGGAGGAGGAGGAGGAGGAGGAGGAGGAGGAGGAGAAGCACCGTGCTGGGCCAGGACGTGTCCACGCCGCAGGGCCTGGCGGCGGCCCGGAGGCTGCTCGGGGTCTGCCCGCAGGCCGACCCCCTGTGGCCGACGCTCACCGGCCGCCAGCATGTGGCCTTCTACGCCCGCGTCAAGGGCGTGCCGGAGGAGCGGCTGCAGGGCGAGGTCGGGAGCCCTGAGAGACGAGGGTGAGTGCAAGCGGGGGTCAGCCAGAGCGCCCGATCTTGCAGGATCCTGCAGGGCCAGGGTCGCACTGACCCGGGTTTGGGTGAAGGATCCTGCAGGATCCTTAGCGTGGACCTGGGTTTGGGCGCAGGATCTTGCAGGATTCTGCAAGGCCTGACTGACCCGGGTTTGGATTGACCTGGCGTCCTGGCGTGCCCATTGGCCTACCAAACAATGTTCCAAGAACCTTTCTGTGGTTTCCACGGAATGTTCTCAGAACATTCCTGGCTGGGATGGTTTTGTTTTGACACATCGGGCTCATGTTCTGAGAGCACTGTTTTTTTATTAGGACATGTTTGGGTTCTAAGAACATTTCGTGGCAGGACTATAGGAATGCCCGGACGGTCGGTCCCTGTTCCAGAGGAGCGGTTGCAGGGCGAGGTGTCCCCGCTGCTGCGCGCCCTCGGCCTGGGCGGCCCCGACGCGGACAAGCAGGCCGAGAAGTACAGCGGGGGCATGAGGCGCAAGCTCAGCCTGGCCATCGCCCTCGTCGGGCGGTCGCCGCTCCTCTTCCTCGACGAGCCGACCGCGGCCGTGGACGCTGGCGCCAAGCGGCACCTCTGGCAGATCATCAGGTCGGCGTGTTTGGTTCGGTGTTTCGCCGAGCGGCGGGGGCCCCCAGCCCCCTCCCCTGCCCCCCCCCACAGTGCAGATCTTGGCTGCTCTCGGCGGCTGCTTAATTCTGGCGACTGGTCAGGACCCCACCCAACTGGTCAGGACCCCTCCCACTGGTCTGCTTGCGCCCACGGTAGAAGCAGATCGACGAAGCACCGGCCCATCCAGGCCCAGACGCTCCCCCCTCCTGCCCCGCCCTTCGGCCAAAGGTCGACCCCCCCCCTAAAAAAAACGCGAACCAGGTCGAGGGGCCCCGAGCAGACGGTCGTTCTCACCACCCACTCGATGGAGGATCCGGGGTGGACAGAACCCCCAACAGTGACACGTCGATTAGTGAATTGTCCGTTTTCGGTTCTCGAGAGGGCGCCGTGGCCGTTATTTTCCAGGCCTGCGCCCGCCAGGTTTGGGCCTCAAGTCGTTTTCACTAAACCACGTTTTACTAAAGGGAGATCTGTCCATCCCCGAGAGGAGGCTGAGGCGCTGTGCGACCGCATCGCCATCCAGGTCCGCGGGCAGCTGCGGTGCCTGGGCACTCCGGGCCACATCAAGCACAGGTACGGCTCGGGCTACCAGCTCGAGCTCCTGTGCCGGCCCGAGCGGGCCGCCCTCGTGGAGGGCGGCTCCCGGTCGGCGCCGGGGTGCTCCCGGGTGGAGGACTTCGTGCGCACGAGGCTGTCCGAGCGCGCGGCGCTGATCGAGCAGCACGGGGGGCGGTGCCTCTTCCAGCTGCCTCTCATGGGCGTCGGGAGCAGGCTGACCCTGGGGACGGTCTTCGCCGAGCTGCAAGGCGGCGCCGATGCCGCGGGCATCATCGACTACTCGCTCGTGCAGCCGTCGCTGGAGCAGGTGTTCGTGCGCTTTGCACGCGAGCAGGACGAGGCGGACGCTCCAGATGGGGACCCCGCCCCCCTGGCTCCAGCCGACTCGGACGGCCTGCTGGTGGGTGCCAGCGCCGCGGGCGCGCTGTAGGGGTCGCCTGCTGGCGTGCGCCCAGGCGCTCGAAAGAACACCCGCCGGCCCGAGCGAGCCCAAAACCGCATGAAGCTATTCAGGGCCCCCCCGGGGTTATCTTGAGCACCGCACCTTAATTAAATAATTCTGGGGGGCGGTTTTCGCCGAACGATATAGTTAGCACCGCGCAAATGATCGGAAATAAGAAATTCCCGCGCCCCGGCTCGGGTGATATCCCAATTGGAATTGGAATAAGAATCAGATAAATAATAATAATGACATAGAGCAAAAAGAGTAATAATACGAATAATATTTACTGAGAAATAGAATAATAGAAATGATAATAGTAAGAGTGATAAAACTATGAATGATAAGACCAAAGAATAAGAGTAATACTACGAATAGTAATAACACTAATGATAATCATAACCCGAAAAATGATACGGATACTAATAATACGGAGAATGCGAATAGCAATAATAATAACACTCATAATCACAATGAGAACAAGAGTTTGTCTCATTAGCTTCTTCATCATCCTTGTCCTTTACGATTTGTATTACCACCCCTGTTGAAAACTTGGTTTTCCTGGCCGTCGCATGGGGTCGTGCATCCGAGGATATCGCCCCCGCCACGCACGGCGCGTTATCTTAGCACCGCACCCGAACAACATGATTACGACAGCTAGTCAAACATGACAAGCAGTACAATAAGACCAATAACCAGAATAACGGCAAAACTAGAAGAAGACTACGACTTATAACAATAATACTAACGATAATAAGCACAACAATGATAATGGCAATACTGATAAGAAAGAAACTAATAATACGAATGGTAAGAGTAAGAGTGTTCATAATAATAAGAGTAAGAATACTAATAAGAGTAATAATCATACTCATGAAAATGATACGGATAATAATAATAATTCTCAGAATCGGATTACGAATATTAATACGGAATAATGGCAATAAGAATAATGCTACGAATGATAACAATAACCATAATAATCAGACTAAGGATAAGAGTCAGAGTAATAATAATAAGAATGATACACGAGTATTAATAACGATAGCACTAATAATAATCACAATCTGAATACGAGTGCTGATAATAAAACGAAAGTAAGCAGACTATGAATAATCATGGTAATAATGTAAATAAGAATGATACTTATACTTAGGTTAATAGTAATAATAACCAGCAGAAGAGTAATAATAAGAAAAAGAGCTAGGTCCCATTATCTTCATCATCCTTGTCCTCTACGATTTGTATTACCACCCCTGTTGAAGCATCGTTTTTCCCAGCCGTCGTGTGGGTTAGTGCATCCGAGGATATCGCCCTCGCCACGCCCGGCGCGTTATCTTAGCACCCGCACCGCCAAAATTATTCGCCCCCCCATCGTAGGCACGGAGGGTTCCTTTTCAAAACTGGGCTCTCCCTTGCCTGGGACTGAATTTTGTTATTGTTGGTAATGGCGATGTTGTTGGTGCTTTTGATGTTGATGTTGTTGTTGGCGTTGTTATTGGCCTTGTTGTTCTAGATATAAGTCTCATTGCTGGCATTATTGTCGAACTTGCCGAGGTGCTGAACGCTCTGACGTTTTGGAAACCGCCGACCTTTCAAGGGGGAACGATCCCCGCGGCGTCAGAAACCACCCGCCGGAGTCGGCACGCCACGAACCTGCCGAGGTGTTGAACGCCCTGACGTTTTGGAAACGGCCGATCTTCCAAGGTGGAGAGATCCCCGTGGCGTCAGCAACCACCCGCCGGAGTCGGCACGACACGAACCTGCCGAGGTGCTGAACGCTCGGACGTTTTGGCCACGAAGACGGCCCAAGATGGCTTCAAGATGGCCCAACGGCCCAAGAGGCGCCGAAGAGGTTTCCAAGACGGCCCAAGTGGCCCACAAGAGGGTCTCCAGGAAGGCCCCTAGAGGCCAAAATCTTGGATTCTTCTTTGGTTTTGAAGGATTTGGGCATTTGCTTCTTTTCAGCCTTCCGACGGCCCGAGATGGCCCAGGAGCCCCCCAAGATCGCCCAAGAGGCCTCCCAGATGGCCCCAGAACGGCCCAAGAGGCCCCCAAGGCGGCCCCAAGAGGGCCCCAAGACGGCTCACGAGGCCTCCAAGACGCCCAAGATTGCCTCCAAGACGGCCCTTGAGCACCCCAAGAGGGCCCCAAGTCGGCCCAGAGAAGCCCCCAAGACGGCTTCCGACTGCGTCAGACGGGCCAGGACTGCCCGAAGACGGCCACAGAGGCCCCCGAGAAGCCTCCAGCGGCTCCCAAGAGGCCCAAGGAGGCCTCCAAGATGCCTCCAAGAGGCTTCCAAGAAGCTCCCAGGATGCCCCCAAGAGTGCCCTCAGAGGCTCCCAAGATGCCCCCTCCTCCTTCTCCTCCTCCTCCTCCTTCTCCTCCTCCTGAACTTCCCCGCCATTCTCCCTCAAGTGTTCCCCGAAGAGTTTCTACAACGGCTGGGGGAACACATGGTCCGATGGCTTGGCAGAGCTCTTGCCACAACGCTCGGCCTCATGGGCGATTCCAAAAGGCAGGGCGGCGGTGATTCGCCATAGGCGTCTTCGATAATGGTCCTAATGAGTTTTCCCTCTTGGGCCTTTTTTGGGCTTCTCTGGAGGTGCCTCGTGGAGATTTCTTGGGACATCTTCGAGGTCTGTTGGGCCGTCGCGGGGGCCTCCCTGGGCGTCTTGGAGCGGCCTTTGGGCGTCTCGGGACCCTCCTGGAGCGTCTTTGGCCTCTCTTGGCCCGCCCGTCCTGGCTCCGTCTCGGGCCTTTCTTGGCCCCTCAGAAGGTCACACAAACCTTAATTACACGACAGCAAGTGACACTCTAGCACATCTCACGGGACAGGGGGCACGGTTGCGGATCTCGAACAGTCTTTCGTCGTGGTCCGCCGCCGCCGTTGCCGTCGTCGTGGAGGTGGTCGTCGTCGTCGTCGTCGTCGTTCTCGTCGTCGTCGTCGGCCTCGACCTAGTCGTCCTCGTCGTCGTCGTCGTCGTCGTCGTCGTCGTCGTCGTCGTCAGCCTCGTCCTCGTCGTCGTCGTTGTCGTGGTCGTTTTGGGGTGGACAGTACTTTTAGCTTTCCGAGTCGGTACACAGAGGCCCGTCTCGAGCTTCAGAAAAATCCGAAATCGACCCAGGGGGGGAAGCTTCTAGAATGGACCCAGGAGAGGTCCCAGGATCGATTTCGAGCGGTCGTCGTCGTCGTCGCCGTCGTCGTCGTCGTCGTCGTCGTCGCCGTCGTCGTCGTCGTCGTCGTCGTCGTCGTCGTCGTCGTCGTCGTCGTCGGGGTCGCCCCCACACGCGCCGCAAGCCATGTGCCCGTCGTCAGGGACGAGTCGGTGGTAGGGTTTAGGGGCGGTGTTCTGGGAGCTCCGGGAAGTCCTGGGGTCCTGGTGCTGGGGATTGCTTGAGCCAGTTGCTGGGGAGTTCTGGGAGTCAGGACCTGTGAGATCGTGGCGAAGAGGAGGGAGAGGAGGGGGAGGAGGAGGAGGAGGAGGAGGAGGAGGAGGAGGAGGAGGAGGAGGAGGAGGATGAGGAGGGAAAGAGAGGGGAGAGAGGAGGGAGGAGAGGGGAAGGACGAAGGGGGGAGGAGGGAGGAGGAGGAGGAGGGAGAGGAGGAGGGAGGAGAAGGGAGGAGGAGGGAGGAGGGAGGAGGGAGGAGAGAGGGAAACGGGGACCCCTTTCACACCTGTGTAAAAGCGGTCCACGGATGCGCAGACGCGCCACCTGCCGCGCTTGGGGGGGGGAGCGAGACCTCTGCACTACAGGTCCCGCGGATCGAAACAATTGTCCAGCTTCCCCCCCAGAGAACTGACGCTGTGAAAAAAAGGCGCCAACTTTTGATCATTTTCGGCTTCGGGGGCCCTCCGCGGGAACCAGTATCGCAAACATCGTGCCAGTACGCACATCCAGGCCTTGGGAAGTTGTCGGGACCTCCGGGGACTCCCTGAGGCCGCGCCTTTTTTCAGCCGTTTTAGAGCCTCTCTGGAAAGTCAGGGTGGTCTTACACGATCCTTCTTGGGCCCCTCTTGAGACGCCTTCTTAAATTCGTGGCTCCCCGTTGGGCCTATGATTGGACGTCTTCGATTAATCAGAGGGCAGTACGAACGCTGACGACGAGAGCTCTGGAAGGCCTGCTCGAGTCCTTGTGCGATCTTATCGGACGCGGGCCAGCGACGTTTGAAGCGAATTGCCATCGATGTCAGCTAGAAACGAATCGCGCGCGAAACGCGTGCGATGGTTCTAGTAACTATACACGAAGATCAGAGGGCTATGCGTTTCTAGTTCTGGGAGTGCGATGACCTCTACGAGCCATAAACAAAGCGATGCCGTCACGATCACGAGTTGTATGTGGGTCCTGCGAGGCCAACATGTTGCAACGCAACGAACTTTTAGTTTTGACGTTCGGCCGGTCGGCCGGGTGACCACTTCGACGGACGCAGTGCTGCAAATGCCCAGAATCACAACGTCGCTAGAGGGTAGCACACTCTGGATGGATCCCAGAAGTCTGCGCCCCCTTCGGACCCCTCCTCCTCCTCCTCCTCCTCCTCCTCCTCCTCTTCCTCCGCCTCCTCCTCCTCCTCCTGCCTCCTCCTCCTCCTCCTCCTCCTCCTCTTCCTCCTCCTCCTCCTCCTCCTCCTCCTCCTCCTCCTCCTCCTCTTCCTCCCAGTGATATAGATCACTACGATGGAGGCGTTTGCTATTGAATGCCCCCTGGAGGCGTCAGACCCTGGAGGATTCCTTATCCAGTGAGGGCGGCGGTGATTTCCATGGCCGGTCCACGATTGGAGCTCCACTGGCTTCCAGACCATGGATTCCTTATCTAAGGGTTCCTTATCCACTGCCCCCACCGAAGTTAAACGTCCACTGCTGGCGCTCAATCTCAACCCATGTACGCAAACATTCTGCACAGCTGGCAGAGAGAAGTATCGGATGAGCATCCCGGCTCGCTGGATTTTGGCGTCGTGCGGCACACGCCGGACACTTTGGAACTGATACTGTGGACGGAGCACAGCAATCAGCGACTGGCGCCGCTCCAGAAATTCATGATTGGCAGGTGCGC